TATTAAACTTCATTTCTAAATGTGTACACTAAAAATACTTCCAAAACTCAAATGACATGAGGCAAAACTAAAATATGTGGAACAATGTAACAACAAGGAAAAGGTCTCAAATTTATCCTGAAAGAGTTTGGCCAGCATTATCCAGAGATCAGTTGATTAGTAGGAAACAGTAAAATAAAAGCTGTTGTTGGTTATGTATTGTCTCTGTGCTGTTTTGTATATATTATTAATTGGTAGATATTCTAATTTTGAGTATGTAGTTGTATGTATGTGATCTGGTGAGGTGCCCAGGCTCCTGAGACAGTGACAGAGATGAACAGGGTCCTCTCTTATCTCTCCTTATACTGTCCCCAGAGAGCCCCATAGACATCTCATAGCAAGGAAGTGGCAGAACAAAGTCTCCACTAGTCTGAATTGAGAAAAGTTACCATGTATAGCTTCCTGTCCTAAGTTTGAGGGATAGAGGATAAAGAGAATCTACATCCAGGATACATTGTACCAAACCCTACAAAGGAAAACTGTGATTGTTAGAAAGGAGAAAAAAAAGAAAGACCCAGAGTCTAGCCTGGCTGTGGGACCAAATGGGGGCCAGGCTAGAAGGAAGCAAGCCACCAGATAGGATCCTGTTAACTGCAGGGATCTATCCATTTTTTTTTTTTTTTTTTTCTTGTGGAACCAGGGATTGAACTCAGGCCCTTGTGCTTGCCAGGGAAGCGCTTATTCCACTGAGCCATCTCCCTGACCCCAGGATCTATCCTTAAGTGGAGTGCATCCTGCCTTTTGTTGTTCTCTCTGAGAAAACAACATGTGAACACAGGAGAAATTTTTCAGGTAGATGATGTGAGAGGGTGCTCCCAGTATCTCTTGGTGCTACACTGCAGTCCCTACTGATGAATTCATGCAGTCAATAAAGTCTTTATCACTGCCTATGACATACCAAGGGCCAGAACAAATGACATGACCTCTGATCAGGTCAACCATCTCTATAGCACAAGCTTCTGACCAGACTCACACCCTGGTCACTTCTATAACCCACACCAAGCCCAGTGCACATAAGGATCCAATGAGTGCAAGCAGAGTTCAACTGACCAGGGCACCTCCATAGGTCTGTAATAGACTTTGGCACCGGGTAAGAGTATGGTAGAAGTCCAGCGCACATAGCTTGTTGCCCTGCTCTACTTTGAATGTAGCTTGCATTATCAAGCAGCTGGAGAGAGAGATATGCTGCCACAAGTGGCAGAGAATGGAGAGGCCCCGACCCTGTGTGACACTTTACCCCTCTCTATCCCAAAATGGTCAAACTGAGGGGTATTAAAGGTGCACAACTAGGCTTTTCCTCAGCCAGTATCATTTACAGTTTTTTTTTTTTTAATGGACACAGAACACATCTCTGATAAACTGCTAAACATCCTCTAATCTGTAAAACAGAGCCAAACGTATGTGTCCACAGGGTGGCTGTGATGAGTTCTTCAGTGTGGAATGGAAAACATCCAGCACGTGCCTAACACTTATAAGCGCTCAATTATCACTGGCAGGAGTACCAGTAATCTGATAGGAGTTTAAGACATTTCAGCTGGGCGTGGTGGTGCATACCTATAATCCTCACACTTTGGAGGCTGAGACAGGAATTCAAGGCCAGCCTGGACTATATAGTGAGTTTAAGGCCAGCCTGAACTGCATAGTGAGACCCTGTCTCAAAAAAATACAAACAAACAAAAGACATTTTGAAAAGGTTGATTATCCATGTAATAACAATTATCTGTAACTTATATACTGCTGAATTCTAGAAATTTTTAAGCAAGATTATTCAAGTATCTTTCTGATTTCTCAAGGAAATAGGACTTACCTGGAGGAGGCCGCCCATCATTTATGTTAAATGCTGTGGCAAATATGCCAAAGGGAAATGCCCCAATTCCAAAAGACATCTGGAAGCCACCATCTCCAAATCCAAATCCTTGAAATCCCTGTGTGAAGGAAATGTAAATTAGAGGAAAAGTAAGCAAATTTTTCCCACACTTCGACACTTTCTCTGTGTGTGTACTCTACCACTGAGCTACACCCTCTGCCTTTTTGGTTTCCTCAGTAGCACACACTGGGCTCAATTTTGTCATCCTCCTGCCTCAGGCCTCTAAGTATGTAACAGGAGTGCCACCACACTGTTTAATATGTTACATCTTACAAGTCATACTGTGTATGGTACCTGCCTTGCCTTCTGTCCTTTCCCACCTGTTTCCAAGATCTAGAATTCAGCTTTTCCTCCCACCTACACCACACAGGAGAGGACTTCTGATGGACCCTCCATCTTTCAAGCCTTACTTTCAAGTCATGGAGCTGTGCATAGCAGGGGGGAAAGACTACCTCTGACCAACAGTGAAATACTGCTAATGTAAGTCAGGGTTTTAAGGCTTGAGGTTTTACTCTTACATTAGCCAGTAAAATTTCCTAGATGGTTTATAACAAACTACTAGCTCCAGAACCCCAGGTGCGCCGTGCCAGCCATGGAACCAGGTGTGGTGGTGCATGCCTGTAAACCCAGCCCTGGGGAGACAGAGACAGAAGGATCACTACGAGTCTGCGCTGCATAGTGAGACCTTGTATCAAACAAACAAAAAATAATTTTTTGAAAATCCCTGATTTAATTATCCCATTGCTAGGAATTCTCAGGAAGTAACATAATTCAAATAAGGGGCCAGTGAGATAGCTCAGTGGGACTAAGCGCCTGCTTAGGCAAGCACAGGGACTGGGTGGGGTTTGATCCTCGGCACCACATGCATGCCATGTCAACCCCGTCCCTTGGCACACTGAGCACTGAATGTGGGCAGACATGTTGGCTCACGCCTGTAATCCCAATGCTGGGGAGACTTAAAACAGGAGGATCACTACGAGTCCGAGCTGCACAGTGAGACCATGTACAAAATACATTTTTTAAAAAATCAAATAAGAAAAGAATGTATGCAAAGACTGTCACTATAGTATTATTTAAAGAGCAAAATAGGAAAAAAAAAAAAAGAAAGAAAGAAAAAGAAAACAACTAAAAGTCCTTCAGATGGGTATAGTGGGTCACTCTTGTAACCCCAGTAATCAGGAGGTTGAGGCAGGAGAATAGCTTCAAGGCCAACCTTACTATATAGTTTCTTCTTCTTCTTTTTTTTTTTTCCCAGAACAGGGGATTGAACTCAGACCCTTGCACTTGCCAAGGAAGCGCTTATTCCACTGAGCCATCTCCCCGACCCCTACTGTATACTTTCAATTAATGTGCCTCAGATAAACCTCCCTGGCTATGATACTGTTACTATGTAAAGCTCAGCTTGGACTATACAGTGAGCTTAAGACCAGCCTAAACTGCATAGGGAGATCCTGTTTCAAAAATAAAGTCCTTCGGTGAGGAAAATATAAATTGTAACATATCTCAATCAATGAAAT